CCCAAGCGGGACCCCCACCCTGATCCGGGACACCCTTCAGAGCAAACCAGCTGGCCCCCTCCCATGCACCAGGCCTCTATCCTATATAGTAAAAGGGTAATATGCAAACTGACCCTAACAGCAGAAAGACTGGGAATGACTGGTCACTATGACACACGCTGACCACCAGGGGCAGATGCTCAATGCAGGAGCTGCCCTCTGGTGGTCAGTGCACTCCCACATGGGGGAGCTCTGCTCAGCCCCAAGCCAGGCTGATGGCTGCCAGTACAGCGGTGGTGGTGGTGGGAGCCTCTCCTGCCTCCTCAGCAGCACTAAGGATGTCTGACTGCAGCTAAGGTCTGCTCCCCGCTGGCAAGTGGACATCCCCCGAGGGCTCTTGGGCTGCCAGAGGGATGTCTGATTGCCAGCTTAGGCCCAATCCCCCGGGGAGCAGGCCTAAGCCAGCAGGTGGTCATCCCCCAAGGGGTCCCAGACTGAGAGAGGGCACAGGCCAGGCTGAGGGACAACCCTCCCCCAAGTGCACAAATTTTTGTGCACCGGGCCTCTAGTATTACATAATTGTGTATTCAACAATATGAAATTTCTGAATTTTTTCTTTGATTTAATTTTGAATTTTTATTTGAAGTATTTTTGGTAAATAATCTATGCCTCCAAAATATAAAATATACAGTGTGTTGTGGAGTGAGAGTGACAGAATGACCAAAACTCCAGACTAATTAAAATTTAGAGAGCCTTTATTATGTCCCCAGTGTCCGCTCCTCCACTCGGGAAGTCTAAGAGAGAAGCGGCCCCGACCATTTGCAGAGTCCAATATTTAAAGGGGACAACTACATCTGTGTTCGGGTTCCCATAGCAAGCAAAGCCAAGTTACAAAAGCTAATTGCGTAGTTTTAGCCAAACTATCATCATCCCCCTGTTATTAATTTCTGGGTAACTTAAAGGTAAGGACTATTCTTAATTTTGATCTGTTTGTTCTTTGTGGGCCGTTGCTCAGGTGTGGGAGCTCAGTTCCTAGAAACTTTGCACACAGGCTGTCAAGCTGCTGAGGTGGCTAGGTAATTAAGCAAGCCTAAAAATTTTCCTACTCTGTAACACAGTGAAGTCTTACATACCTATTCCCCACTACCCACTACCTACTCCAACTCTAATCTATAAGCACAGAATCATTGCTCGGCTTCCTCCTGCATGCTGGAGATCAAGCCCACAACCTGGGCATGTCCCCTTGATGGTTATTTATATTTTTCTCCCTATCTAATCCCTTTAGAATCAAAACCAGGACCCTTCAGTCTGCAGGCCGACACTCTACCCACTGAGCTAAACCAGAGAGGGCCCTACTAATTTCTTTCTTTCTTTCTTTCTTTCTTTCTTTCTTTCTTTCTTTCTTTCTTTCTTCTTTCTTTTTCTTTCTAATTAAATCTTTATTGTTCA